TGTTGTTCCTCTATACTCACTACATTATTGAAGCCATCAATATCCTCATTAAGAAAGTGCGTCCTAATGGTTTGTGTGTATAAGTTTCGCCTTTTATGATATACTTGAGAATTCAGATATTTTTTTTAAAAAGATTTTATTTTTTTTCCTTTTTCTCCCCAAAGCCCCCCGGTACATAGTTGTATATTCTTCGTTGTGGGTCCTTCTAGTTGTGGCACGCGGGACGCTGCCTCAGTGTGGCCCGGTGAGCAGTGCCATGTCTGCGCCCAGGACTCGAACCAGTGAGACACTGGGCCCCCTGCAGTGGAGCACGCGAACTTAACCACTCGGCCACGGGGCCAGCCCCGAGAATTCAGATATTTTTAGTAAACATCGAGAATATTTGAAAAGGGTAGAGAGTTGTTTTTTTTTTTTTTTTCAAACAGTGAATCAATGACTCAGGGGATTTGGGACATTTTTGTCAAAATCCCTCTCTCCAGCCTAATTCAGATCAGCAGCTGCTGAAAGTCAGTCAGCAGACTGGCCTGCTTCTGTGGAGTGACTCAACCTGTAAATCTGTTCCTATTATGAAGGTCTTAGCAGCGGGTCACACCTACTGCATGCTTTTGATCACTGTGAAAAGCCGCTGTGAAGAGTTTAGGATTCAGAAGCAGCAGAGATTGCATATATTTTGTGCTTGTAATGAGGTCAGAATTGTATGGTCTGTTGAAGACACCAGCGTGAAGAGGAACACAGCAGATGCCGTCAGTCCGTGGAAGAGGAACCCCAGCTTCTGGGTGGACATTAGGATTGTATTTTATTTTTTTAGTTTATGTTTTACTCTGTTTTGTTAGGAATTGGCCTCTATTTTTGTATTCTCTTTTGTACCCTTCTTGCTTTCTTTTAGATTAATTGAATATTTATTTCACATTTCCCTCAATTTAACTTGTTAATTATACATTATCTCACTATTCTTTTCATAGTTTCACTAGAGAATAAAAACGTGCATCCTTGATGTATTGCATCTTAACAGATTTTATTGCTTTTACAGATTTTATTATTTTTCTAATACCCCTAGAACCTTAGAACCTCTAAGCTCCATATAATCCCTCCTGGCTTTGACAGTTACTGTTGGCGCGCATTCTTGTTCTACATAAATTTAAAGTCTATGAGACATTCCACACATATAATTTATATTTACCCAGGGAGTTAATTCTGGTGTCATTTAATGTCTCTTAAACTTCCATTTTTCCACCTGGGATCATTTTCATTCACCTTAAAACAAAAGACTTCTGATGGCAAAGTTCCTCATTTTTGTTTGTCCAAAAATTTTTATTTCACTTTCTCTTTTGAGGGATGTTTTTCACTGAGTATGGTTGGATTACTTTCTTTCAGTACTTTAACGTGTGATTCGTTGTTTTCTAGCTTCCAATGTTTCTGTATAGAAACCAGCTTTCACTCTCCCTCTTGTTCCTTTGAAGGTAATGAGTGTTTTTCCTCTGGTTTTTTAAAGCTTATTCTTTGTCTTTGGGCTTTGGCATTTTTCATATGATCTACCTTGTGTCTTCTTATTGGTGATGGTAGTGTGTGTGTTATCTTTTGCGTGGTTTCCTGAGCTTCTTAAACGTGAGTATGTCATTCACAGGTTTTGGAAACTTACCTCTTTGAAGATTACTTTGCCACGGTCTTTGTATCTCTTCTGTTTCTGGCACTCCTTTCATTCCTATGTCTATTCTGCTATTTCTTCTATTTGTCCATCTTTTTCTCTATTCTCTTAAACATTTAATCATAGGTATTTTAAAGTCTTCACCTGATAACTCTAAATCTGAATCCTCTGTGAATCTGCTTTATCTTTTGATTTTTGGTAAATTTCCTTGTTTCTTCATGTGTATAGTAATTTCTCATCACATGGTCAGCATCGTATGTAAACAAACTACAGACACTGTAGGTGATGTTTTCTGCCTAAGAGGATTCCACCCTTCTCTGTTAGAAGGCGAAGGCAAGGGATGATCACCCAACCCCATCACAAACCTGTGTTGAAGATCCAGCCCCCGTGGGCTTCTCCTCTATGCCCCAGGCTGCGCCCTCCTAAGCTTTGACTGAGAGCCCGTCAGATCTTCGTTCCTCAGCGCTGAAAGTTACAGTGGCTCCGGCTCTGAGGTTCAGGGCTCTTGGCCCCACTCTCCACTTGGGCACTCCGCTCATTTCAAAATCTGCAAGTCTTGAAGATGAGACTAGTCAGGCGTTTGAGGCTATCATCTCCCGTCAGACCTTTGTTCTGAAGCATCTCTATCACCGTAGGAGATTCCACTTGGCTTTTTGTAGGCTTTTGGCCTAAGGCACCACTCATTCATACGGTTGTCCCTTGGGGAAAGTGACCGTGCATTTGAGGGTCCTCAAGTTTCTGATTTGCATCCCTAGTCCCACACAACTGCAAAATATTTTACCGTTCTTCTTTCTTTTAGAAAGTGCCCTCTAGACCTACAGAAGAACTCAGAATTGGGAAGTGAACTCAGGAGAAAAAAAAGCAACTGGCAATTTTCTGTTCAGTCGGGAAGACTCTCCCCATCCAGCATTTTGGTTTCTCTAGTTTTCAGTTTTGCCAGAGCTGTCTGATGTTTTAAATATATGATTTTTGTAATTTGTCCCTTTTTTTCATTTTTACAATGGGAGCAATAACCTGCCGTGAGCTTCAACATTCCTATGCAGATGTGCAAGGCCCCTGTTTTCTCAGTAGATCAATATGAAGCTGTGTTACTTAAGAAAGATGATATCTCAAGGAAATTTGGGGCATATAATCAACTGAGATGTTAGAGATATTCTTCCATCAATTACATATTCTCTCATAAGAATAAATCCAGTGGCAGTATTTCTCAGAGATCGTTCTTATGTGCTGAATGTGTGCCAAGAAACATATATGCAGATATTCAATATCCGCAGAGTAAATGAGACTGAAGCTAAATGTAATCACCACAGCATACGCTGGTGGAGAAAATGGAGGAGCTGAAATACATTAGTGGAGGAAACATAAAGATTTCACTCAAATCTCATTTAGAAAAAGAACGGAAGATGATCTAGGGACCCTGGTCTTTAGCATGTGTCAGATCCCAGAGAGCAATGGTTCAGTAAATAATGAGCGCTGTAGAGTAATAGTTAAGAAGACACATCCTGGAGCCAGATGGCCTGGTTCCACCATTTTCCATGTGACTTTGGGCAAATTACTTAACCTCTCTGTGCCTCAATTTCCTCATCTGGAAAATGCTAGCAGTGCTTTATATAGTCCTTAGGAGGATTGCGTGCCTTAATGTTTGTAAGGTGCTCATAAAAGTACCTGGCACATATTTAGCACTCTTAACTGTTGACTAAATAAGTAATTCTTATGCACTCCTTCCACCCCGCTTTCTTGGCTCACTTTCCTGACAGTACAGGCAATCTGGCTTTCACAAGAGTCTGCCCAGCAGGAGAAGGTCTCATCTCCAGGTCCTTTGGCCGCAGTCCTGGAGACTGGAGAAAAGTGCCCTTTGAGGGGGCCCGCCCTGCATTCGCAGCCCACTGTCTGTGGAAGTCTGCATGTCTGCAGAGATTGGACAATCACACACAGGTTTTTTTTCCTGGTTATCTAGAAATTCAATTTGGGAGAACTTCTTTTGCTAATAACCAGCTCCAGGAATCTAGCTACACACTCTGGCCGTGAGTTTGAACACGGCTCCTGTGTTGAAACGTAGTGTATCAACCTTCTGCCCATCGCCTTCATTTCAGGCTTTACCGTCTTCTTCCTCGAGGAAACGATAGGCTCGGTGTCCAGGGGAAGGTGTGGTTTTAAAATTGTCCCAGAACACTGACCACCCTTGCTGCTTTCACATGACTGTTCTCACGAAAGAGCCAGCCACTCTGTCCTGCTTTGTTTCATTCTCTTTTGTTTTGAAGGAGAGGATGGAAGTGGCACCTGAACACAGCAGTATGTGCTTTGCAGTGGGATGGGCCATCTCGATTCCTCTGAGTTCTCCCCAATATTCCCATTGCAATGTTCAGAATTTCATTTTTTTAAACCAGCATATTCACTTTAGAATTGACAGAAAAATTCGTTTCTGCAATGTCTCGCGGTTAGAGATGACTGCCTGATGGCAGAAGGGGGAGCCCACAGCAGTGAAGCCTGCTTGTCCTGAAGTACCCCAGCTGCCATCGGGGGGCAAGCTCAGGCTTCAGAGTGTCTCTCTTCGGGTACGCTAAGGAGGGGAGAGGAAGTAGCTGATAAAATTGCACGTTTTGGTGCTCTCCTGTGAAGGCCCCTAAAGTTCCCATTTCTGTGGGCTCAAGGTCTGAGAGAGCGCACGGCTGCTAGTGTACACTCTCCCACAAAATCGAGTGTGTGCTGCCATCCCAGAGAGGTGGCCATTGTTATCCAGCACAGCTACCCTGCCTCCGCTGAGCTCATTTGATATTTCAGTGGCAAACCTTTTGGATATTAGTGCAGTCCTCTGTTCACACTGATGTGAGTGGGCCCTCTTGGGTAGGGGTCCTCCTTGGGTTAATGCATGGTGGTCAGAGTGGGGTCACATTACCCCATTCTGCACAGGGAAGTAATTAGTAACTGCATGGAAGGAGGAGTAGATGCTAGGATGGAGTGAAGCATGAGAAACTCAAAAGCATCTATTGCGTTCAGAATTACAACTGTGATAAATTAAATGAAGAGAAAGTACAAGATGTCATAGAGTGTCTATAATAATAGAGGGCGAAGGGCAAACAGACCTTTGATTCTTTCTCGTGTTCCCTGGAGGTACGTTGCCCGGTAAGCAGTGTAGCCATCCTGAGTGTTTGGTTCCATTCATCATCTTAATTCAGCAGTTCACAGCTGACCGAGGTGGCTGCCGTCTCCCGAGGAGGAATGCCTGGAGATTTTATAGAGAATCTGTGTTCTCTCTTTCCACCTGGTCCAGCCCCTTGGCATCCAGGTATTGCTATTGTATTTCTCTGTCATTCACAGTATTTGGTGCTACTTTTTCCCCTCTCTCCTCCCACAGGTAATCCATCAGCTGAGGCTCTCAGAGAATGAAAGTGTGGCCCTGCAGGAGCTCCTGGACTGGAGGCGGAAGCTCTGTGAAGAGAGAGGAGACTGGCAGCAAATCCTGCACCACCCGGAGCCCAGGGCGCCTCCCCCACCTCCTTGCAAGAAGCCGACTCTTCTGAAGAAGCCCGAGGGGGCCTCCTGCAGCCGGCTGCCGTCTGAGTTCTGGGACAATACCATTTGACGTGGCCCAGCCTGCAGACTCGCAGAATAGAACTGCATAGTGATTCCACGCTGCATCGACAGAAGGCTGCCTCTGATACATGCTGGGTGCTCTCTCCACACATTTACATGAACAAGTACAGGACAGCGAAGTTAAATACACGAGATTCCGTGTGTGTGTGTGTGTGTGTGTGCATGTGCTCTTTCTTACCCTTTCTGTGGGGACACACTCTGATTTTCGGACTCCGTGGTTAAAGGACCATTCTACCCCTAGGGAGCAAGAGAAAGGCTAGGAAAAGTGTGGGATGAGGGGAGAGAGGGAGGGAGACAGGTGGAGGAGGCAGGGGAAGCCACACTGTACGGTGTTTGTATGTGGTCCCACCACATGTTTATTGTACTCTGGCCATTTTACTATGATACACGCCACAGGATGGATGTTGTATGTCTTTGTAGGTGTGTATGTTTTATTGAAATTGCAAACTTGGTCATTACTTACATGTTTATTACTGTATTTTATAACTTTATGCAATTGGTGGTGCTCCCTTTCTTCAAAATACAGATTTTAAAAAATCATTTCTACAGTTTTTTTCCCCTCCACACACTTTTTTTTTAACCTAAAGTACTTAAAACTCTTGAGACTATGTTGCTGTTTTAGCTTCGCCGGTGTCAGCCCTGCAAACGTGTGGACCGAGTCCCATGTTTCTATTTCATTCATTGAGTCAGAGGCAGTTCCTTCCTATGCCCTGTATTTCTGGATACGTGGATTGTGAGCTCTTTAGTTAAACCTCATCTCCGACTTCAGCATGGGTTACAGGAAATTACGTGGCATTCACTTAAACGCATATGGCTTCAAATTCATAGCTGGTGGTATGAAAGGATCATATCCATTCAAAGGTCTACACAGTACGAATAAGCACGCTCAGATTTACCGGTTCCAGCAGCAATGCTGCATCCCAAGATGCTCATCTTCTCAGAGCTCCACTGCATGGCTCACCTGCTCTATATCCTCAACTCTCCTGTATTGCAACTGCCTTGTTTATTGATGTGCTTCTCTTGGCTGTCGGGACGTTCTGAGCTGTGGCATCAGACCATCACGTCTTGCTACTTGGAACCTGTTATTCATACCAGCCTTTGAAAAGTTACTGTACCAATAAAAGGGCACAACTATGTTCTTCTGTGGTTTTATTTATTTGTTGTTGTTGCTTTCCATGAATGCTTCTATTTCCTGATCAGATAAGTAGGGGCAGTGAACAGTCTCGTTCAGCCCCATTCATATGTTCTTCTCACAGCATTTTGCAAGATTTGGGCTCTGGTAGTTTGCTTTAAAATAAAGGGTTTATGGTTTTTCAGATATAATTACCACGTAGGCGTGTGTCAGTTTTAGGAATAACATGTTTGTTATTTATGAATAATATAATAGGCCAACAGATCAGGAGACGACTGCCATTGAAAAGACAGTTTGTTAAACTCACAAGTCGCATGCCATGCCAGGGGGAAGCCATAGGGAGAAGCACCTGGGTGAGTCAGGAGGCAGAGGGAGGGAGGGCACTAGTGAGCTAGTTCTTTTGTGGTCTCTGTGGGAAGGAATGGGCACTGCAGGATATGCAGGCATAGAATCGGCAGGCTGGAATAAGTTCAGTGGGCCTCGGTGTGCAGAGGCTGTCTCTGGCTATCTGATTCCTGGCCCTGGGCAGGGGGATAGTGGCCTGGAGTGGGAGAGATCAATAAAGGGGGCAGTTGGGGTGTGGGCTCTGGATTAAGTGGGGTTGTTCACTATCCCTAGGACTTGGCTAGTCCTGGGAAGAGCTGTCCCTCGGGGATCAGCAAGGCCCAGATGCCAAAGCATCACAATACGGAAAATAAGACGCCATAGTTAATGCTTATTAAATGGCAATGTTACCGCTGCCATCCAACAGTCACAGTGAGCTGCTCTACGCCACCTCAGCTGGACAACCACCAGGCCCCACTCCTGCCTCCTTCTCCTCTATTTCCCTGACGTCTGACCTCCTAACTGAGCCACTCAACAACAGAAGAAGCAAACTTTCCTCTGCTCACGTGGCTTCCTCAGCCATGCGTGGCACCTTGTAAACACTTAATGACCTTGGCTGAATTAAAGTTTTAGCTGGATTTCCCCGCAACACACACAGTATATTTATTTATTCCAGAGTGAGAAGTGAACTGTGCGAGCATTGCACCTGGTGAGAACTTGTTGGAAATGCACTTGCTGTGACTGTCCTGGATGCTCTGCACGTATTGTTCCTAACACTGACACATGCCTCCATGGCCATTATTATCATCTGTGTCCTGAACCTGAATGGGAGCTCAGAGCTTTCAGTAGGCTGTCAGAATATGAACTTTCATCTTTACGATTCCAAAGCCCCTTCCGTTTCAACTTGATACACAGAAATTTTCTACTTATTTTATAGAAATATGTCTTTAAAAACTTCAAATTCTCTGACTTTTTGGGGATCCACAGTTGTGTGAAACCTTGATGGAAGACTATTACAGCGAAAGCTTACATGAAGGAAGGGTCCCAAGCGCGTGTGGATCCAGACTACACCCCTCTCTATTCTGTTAACCAGGTCACGGGTCAGGGTTTGTATGGCCATAAGCTGAACCTGACCATCACCTGCTGGAGGTGCCATGAGCATCATGAAATGGTGAATATTTAATCTGTCGAGTAATCCCTTTGTCTCACCTAGTGTTTGTTGAGCTTCTGGAGCTAGAAGTCAAACCCCTCAAAGATTTTCTAGAACCCCGTCTCCTAAGACCTAAGTGAGGCCTTTGTGTTCAGTTGTTGGTTTTGTCCCAGTGGAGAGAGATTTCAGGTGTGTGTTAATCACCACTCTAGAACCACATGATTCTTCCTGTTCTACTTACATGATAGAAAAGTCGGCAGAGACTCAAAAGCATTAATAGGCATCACAGTAGTAGTAGCATTAATAGTCCTAATAATGGGAAATAAAGTCTGAGTCCGTGTGTGTATTAAAGGTACTCTCAGAACGATTCTCTAATGATTAGGATATTGTCAAGAAAATGAACAGAGGTACTGTTTGGATAATGAAGCACTGAATGCTGTTCCACGTAAGCAAGATTTCAACAATTACGTGTGTTTGCAATATATTTAATGATGGTATTTTAATTGCTATCAAACCATAAGGTATGAATTATGATATATTACCGAGCCTGAGACCTTATGTTTAGCAGTATAATTGGTATGAATTATTACCCTATGTTCAAAACTGCCCAAACTTATTGCTTTTTAAAAAAATGCTTTATGAGAGGTCTCTAAAAACTACCATCAAAATGTTTATAGTGGGTTAAAATGATTTAAAGTGTATTTTCTAGGGTGGAAAAATATATCATTACTATTCTTAAATAGTGGTATCTAATTTAGTAAGATTATGCTTACATAGATCTATCCAATAAAAGCAGCAACCAATTAAAATCTTAGATTTGTAAATGAACTTCACATATGAACATTACACAACTTGGACAAAAGGCATATTATGAATTCCATAGTCTAGAAGGATGGCTAAATTTCTGTCAAAGTTCTATTGCTGTCACTTTCTAGCCAGACATCAGACTCAACTCACATCACAATAAACGGCGTGAGGGTATTATATAGTAACGTTCTATAACGGGACGCTTTTCACCCGCTGGCTATTACTCTGCACTGCTAATTTCTTTCCAACTTTTAAATGTATATCTTTAGTTAGGCTTCAGTAGGATTTATTTTTACTTTAATTCTCATCAGGAAGTTTTCAATGAAAAACACTCTTAAATTAGCTGGAAAGAAACAACTGTGTTCCAAGTAAAAGTTTAGTGTAATTTCAATACATTTTTCAAATTGTTTTTAGCTGCACGTGAAAATCCATGTAATGAAGATGAAAGCAATTATATTTCTATTTATTGTGCAATGGTAAATTCACTATGATGCTCATGGTTTCCGAAAACAACAGCACTGCTATCAAAAAACTAAAAATATATTCTGCACCCCCATTCTACTTCCTTTACATCTTATTCATAAACAATGACTTTATCAAGCAAATTCTACTACAGTGTTCTACCTATGTGAGTTACAAAGATACCCATATAGCAAACGGCTGCAGCATGCTGAGTTACAGGCTGGAAAGAATTACCTTTGTAGTTTTTCACTTTACCTAAGTACTGCAGACCCCTGGGATGCTCCATTATTGTGGTTTCAGTAAGTTTCTCTAAAATCCAGGATGCTTTGTAAAACTTTAAAGAAGACTTTTTCAAAGGGTAAGTCTCATTAGATGCCTATAGCACATGTCTATCACCGCTTCTAATTTCTCAGATCACTTTTCAGATTTTTAAAAAATCTATTTATACCTAAAATATCATTTTTGTAGGCTTGACATCAGCACAATATAGTCTGGATTTTATGTAGTTTACCAGATCCTTACAATGGCAGAATAAAATCTGGATGTCTTCTCATAAGAACATATTAAAGGTGAACAAATCTATGCATTCATTTCAATTGTTGTTTTATAATAGGAATGCATCAAATGTGTCTTTTCTTTCCTTTGAATTAGTCATCGACAGACATCCTGGCATATCTGCTAGCTTGCCTTTCGCTATAGCCCCGGGGATCATGTGCTGCTTCAAAGGCAGGCTCGTGAGCTTGCCCAGATGACATTTTCCTGATGTCACCACTTAGTTTCTAAAGTCTAAAGAAAATGAAAGAGAATGAAACTATTGATAAATTCCAAGGGGGAGATCAAAGCTCTAAAGAAAAGTGGAATAAAACCAAATTCAATTTGAGGTTTTGATCTTTTAAGATTTCAGCAAACAAAGGGGCTGGAGGTCCATGATCTAAAACAATTGGTTGAAAAGGGTATAAATTCTGCCCTGTTCTGAAGAGATGTTTCCTTACTGAATCTATTTTGAGGTTTAGTAGATCAAACTGGGTCTTGAGTGATAACAAAAAGAGCAGGTCCACCCAACAGAGTCCTTATTATGGTTCATTGACATTATTTTTGAATAGAATAAACAGTCCTAATATCAAAAAAATATAACCTTTGGGGTACTTTTCTATGTGGGTTGTACATATATGTGCATTGTAGGGGGAAATAATTCTTCAGAAAATTTTGCAGTTGGAGACGTGTTGTCATTCCCTTGGGCTTAGAAGCTGTCGTAAAAGGATAACATTCCATATTTTAAAAGCAAGAAATTTCCCTAGCAAAAGAGAAGAGAGGCTACAGGAAACCCACATGGTCATGGCTGCAGCTGCTGAAGGCGTCGAGCGTAGGGAATTAGGAGATCGGAGGTGACATTGTCTCCTTAGTGTCACCAGGAACGCTCACTGTTCAGCCCCAGATGAAAAGGCATGCCCTACAAAGACAGAATATCAGTGCCCAGAGCATTCAAAACCCAGAAGTTTGCCCACAGTGACTCACAGGAAACACTCATTAGGGGTACAAGTTGCTGCATCTCCCAATTTTACTCCTGAAGGTTGGCATTGGGCTCTGGTGAGCAGTTGTCTTATTTGTCCTGAGTCTCCCATGCTACCTACGTGTATTACTCAAGTTGGCTGTTTTAACAAACACCATGGAATCTAGTGGCTTAGCACAATAAACCTGCATTTGTATTTTTGTTTTCCCCCCTAAGTCACAGTCCTGTGCACGTTGACCCCAAGCAGCCATCCAGACACTGAGGGACTGAGGGTCCTTCCATCTCCAGGCTCCAACCTCCTCCTGGTCCTCAGAGTGCTCCTGTCTACCCAGGGGATGGGGACAGAAGCGCAGGGAGCCATGCATGGGGCAGTCTCCGCTTGGTGGAAGTGGCTCAGGTCACTTCTGCTCACATTCCAGTGGCCAGAACTCAGCTGTGTGACTGAGGCCTCGGGAGGAATGCCTCTCTTCCCTGAGATTTCCATAACTTCTACGGGAGACCCCATCAGACAGTGCTCTTGGACCCTCAAAGGGTAGTCTAGTGACCAGCGGCAATGACATCACCGGGGGGCCCATCCCCAGACCTGCTGAGTCAGAGTCTCCATTTTAGCAAGACCTGCAGGTGATTCGTGAGCACATAGAGGTGTGAGCAGCCCTGCTCCGGAAGTGCCCGTGCTAGCTCCGTCTGCATGGCCCACATCAGTTGTTGGGGGAGCCTCCACAAAGCACGGACAGCAGCAGGGCAGGTGG